ATCCTTTGCCGAGCGGGACCCGTCCTGGAGGCGCTGAGGCCGGGAGGCATGGCGCCCCAGGCTAACCCAACGACCCCCCCGAGGCGTCCAAGGGAACCTTCTCCCAGCACGCCGGGGGACAACAAGCGCCAGTCCCGAAGGCTGAAGGCGGGCCAACAAGCGTTGGCAGGTCTGACCTTGGGCTCACTTCCGGTCTCGGCCTCGGATAATCCAGAGGCGGGGACATCGACACAGAGGACTGGCGAGGTGGATGAACTTGGGGGGGGAACTCTTCCCCTGGATCCATGGGCACACCAGGGCATGGAGATCTCGGATCGGCCCACCATCCTGCCGATCACACACGACCCCAATATCTCCGACAAGGTCATGTACCTCCAGATGGCTTTCAAGCAGCGTCCCTTAAGAGACGGTGGAGGAAAGCCCTCATTGGGACGGTTGGCCCCGTGGGCCCGACCGCTGTCCAAAGCAGCGGCGCTGGGGGCCAAGATCTGTGTCCTCACTTCGCCGTGGGGGGACAAGCTCCAGGAGTCGCTCTCGTTGGGGGATGGGTCACATCCCTTCCCGGAGGACCTGCTGGAGGACATCAGGGAGATTTTGGCGCCGGGGGCAGGCCGACCAGCGGACGGCCAACCCTTCTTCCTGGACATCTTGCACAGTGGCGCTGAACATTCAGGACCCCGACCACCAGTTTCCCCGGGACCTGGAGCAAGGGGTCCCACTGGGGGTCACGGACCCACCCCTGACCTCGCCGGGGAGGAGCCGGAGTTCCAGGAACTCCCCCACCCAACGGGCAGGGGCAACTACCCCTCGGCGGATCACTTCATTTCTGGAGGAGGTCCCCATGGGCATGGTGGAGGGCCCCTTCAGTAAGGAGGAGGCAGCATCGCGATGTGGCTGCGACCGCGAGGACCTTTGTCCCGGCTTTTAGCGGGCATCGACGAGGATCCGCACGATCTACGATGGCTCGGTGGGAGGACCAGACGGTGGAAAGGACGACGGCTCCGACGGTGCTGGATGGGGTTCAAGCTCTCCATTGGCTACATGCGGCAGCTGCGGAGGGACCCCCCTCTCAGGGTGCCTCTGGCCCCGAGGGGGGGACTGTCAAACCTCCACCTGGGGGCTGGCTATGGCCGGAGCCGGGCACCAGGTGGGTGCTGCTCAAGGCGGACGTCACCAAGGCCCACCGGAGAGTGAAGGTCCTCAGGAAGGACTGGCGGTTCCAGGTGGCCTCACTGGGGGAAGAATGGTGGGTGAACAAGGTAGGCACATATGGCATGGCCAGTGCCCAATCCTACTGGGGACGCCTGGCAGCCCTTCTGCTCAGGGTCCTCTACGCACTTTTCCCTCAAGTGGATTGGAACTTCGTCTTCGTCGACGACTTCCTGTGGCTGCTTCGAAGCGAGGGGGCAGTGAACTTGGCGGTGGCGCTGCTGGCCACACTCCTGGCATTGGGCACCCCACTTAGCTGGAAGAAGACGCACTTGGCGGAGGTTAACACATGGCTGGGCTTCGTGGTCCACCCGAACATCCCGCAGGTTCTCATGGCAGCCAACAAACACATCCTGGTCATGGAGGTTTGCAGACCATGGTGGAAGGGCAGGCGATGCACTCAAAGGACATCGAGAAGGCCCTGGGCCGCATCCAATGGGCAACGGCTGCATGTCCGCTGGCGAAGTCGATGCTCCAGCCACTTTGGGCCTGGAAGATGGCCACCACCACGGTGGGGAAACCCCCCAAGGTGGTCAGGATGCTGGCGTTCATGCTGCGGTTCCTCTTCAACACGCCTTTCGTCCAGTACTCCCCCTACTTGCCAAAGTCCTCTTGGTGGGGTTGCAGCGACGCTAGCGCCTCGGACGACGGACTGGCATTTGTGGGAGGTTGGTGCTCCAACACAGTGGAACCGGACAAGAAGGAGGTGTACTGGTTCCATGAGCAGATCCACGTGGAGGAGTACCCTTGGGCTTTCAAGAATGTGGATCCAAAGCGGAGGATTGCAGCTCTGGAGATGCTGGGCACGCTCTTCCTCTGTAACATGATCCTCACGCACCAAGGCCCTCTGTCCTCCCGGGTCCGACTCCCGGTGGGCAGTGACAATCAGGGCAACGTCATGGCGATGCTCAACCTTGGATCCAAGAAGCCCTACACGGCGGCGATCCTGATGGAGCTGGTCTTCCTGCTCCACACCCATGACTGCTCGCTGGCGGCCAACCATGTGCCCCGTGAATTCAATCAATGGGCTGATGAGCTGACGCACCCGGATTTCTCTGGGTTCGACCCTTTACAAAGGGTCCCCAAGCAGGAACTCTGTGAGGAGTTTGTTTTTCTCCCGCGTCTCCTGAATGGAGATGCATTTGATCTCAGCGTGGGCCCACCCATGCTCCCGTGACCGGAGCCGGTGGGTGACTCACTTCCCCTGGTGGCAGACCCCCCTGTGGCCTGGGTGCCACGGGCCCCGGCTCAGGGGCGGGCGCTATCAGTCTGCACACCCGTTCTTCAGTTTTTGAGAATTGTGAGTTGGGTGGCCCATGGGGCCCACCCAGCGTTGGTCATCTGACAGGGGAAGATGAGTCCCTGGCACCAACACACTGCTCGGATGAAAGAGTTATCGCGTGCTCGTGTGTGGTGCCGTTTGGTTAGCTTGCATACACATATATAGTTGTGTATGATCTAATAGGATATATATATATATATGGCAGTGAATTTTTTTGAGGGGTCTGTAACAGAGCCGCGGCGGACATTCGTTACAGACCTCGTTGCAGACCTCTGTAACAAGACCAGCTGGCTCGTTACACACCCCTCGTTACACACCCCTCGTTACACACCCTCGTTACACACCCTCGTTACACACCTCAGATGAACAAACCGGGCCAGTGACGTCTTTTTGCCGCAGCCTGGCTTGCGTTGAATAGCTGCAATCAAGCTGGAGCTGCGGAGGCGCTTTGCGTACTGTGCTTTGCTTTGCCTCGTTACAGACCTCGTTACATAGCCGTTACATACCTCGTTACAGACCCAACCCCAGCCCGGGCCAGCGACCCTGCTTTTTGCCGCAGCTTGGCTTGCGTTGAATAGAGCTGCGGAGGCGTACTTTGCGTGCTGCGCTTTGCTTTGCCTTGTTACAGACCTCGTTACATAGCCGTTACATACCTCGCTATACAGACCCAACCAGCCGCAGCTTGGCTTGCGTTGAATAGTTGGTGCTTTGCGTACTGCGCTTTGCTTTGCCTCGTTACAGGCCTGGTTACATAGCCGTCACATACCTCGTTACAGACCCAACCCCGGCCCGGGCCAGCGACTCTGCTTTTTGCCGCAGCTTGGCTTGTGTTGATGTGCTCCTGATTCTGCTTGTCAGGAAATGTTTTTTCCCGTTACAGACCTGCGTAACCAGGACCTCCGTTACAGACCTCCGTAACAAGATCCGTGCCGCGTCGCGCGTTACAGACCCCTAAAAAATCATAGCCATATATATATGTTCTGTTTATGTACAATATTTAGTCTAATGCGTGCTTTTCTAAAAGGATATATGGATGTGGAGAGAGAGAGAGAGAGAGAGAGAGAGAGAGAGAGAGACAGCTATGTACAAAAATAATATAGAGATACACATGCTATGGATGGTTGCGAACTCCATGACGTTTGTTGGAGATTACAGGGGATATCATCGTTCAAGGGTTTTTCAGGTATTGTTTCTGCATAACTCATGGCGAGCTCGATCTAAGGGTAAAACGAGCTCATCATGAAAAGATCCTGTACTTGGAGATCCCTTATTTCATTTCAGGTTTTCTTAGGTGGTCCAGGATTATCCCTGGTTCTTATTGAGGGTGAAGGGGACACACCCCGGAACACCACGAAACCACCAAACCACGGGGCAAGCTGATACGTCCCGCCCAAAGCAAGCTCACACAACTGAAAGGGGATGTTTTTATCCCACCCACAGGGGACACGCACAGGTTTTGCTTTCGATAGGGCACCCGTCAAAATGTGGGTGTTTTTGTTGGTTTCCCTTGAAAGCCACTCCGGAAGTTCCGATTTCTGTCGATTGGGGGCAACTCTGATTGGGGTTGCTCGGGATGCTTATTGACGGGAATTTGGACAACCTTACGGCGATGTTCTTCGCGGACCATGACTATGGCAACCAGAAGCTTAGACCATGCTGGAATCACAGCACAATGGTCAGGCTTTCATATTTCCTATGAAGGTTCCTTTTCGTTGTTTCAAAATGAAACCGCAAGAAGACATTCATGTATGTTCTTTTTTTCCGGGCCCCCCGCCCCTAGCAAAAAAGCGAAAAAGAAGAACCCCCCCACTTACTTTGACTTCTGCACGTGCGCAAGCGCGTGTGCGTGCTTGCAGCGTGGCCGGGCGGGCAATAGTTCTGGTGATTGTTTTTGGACGGCGCTGAACACTTCACTCTCTGAGTTCATGGACTTTAGTCACCTTTTGGGTTACCATTTTATTTTTGGTGGTAAGCAACAAGTTCTTTGATATTTAGTTGGCCCATCCACTCGAGCGGAAGCGAGCATATTTACCTTCTTTAACTATACTGCGCATGGACAAAATCCATTTCGCATCCGCCTAAGAAACCCTGGTTTCTGATGATACTCCTGTAAAAGCCGGTGGTTTTCCGACGGCGCTTTTTTTGTTGCTAAGGGTGGAAGTTCATACCCCTTGGCTTCCGTGGTTTCCAACCCACTTTATAAGGGGTATTTACCCTTTGTTGGGGAGAAGGGTATGAACATCAGCAGGCCTTTTGGGTTCATTTGTCCAATAAAAGGGGTATCTACCTTGGCACCCCTGGATGCCGAAGCAGGGCTCCTTAAAAGATACATTTTGCCCAATTGAAACATGGCTTTTTCCACCAAAATAAAGGGAAACCACCATTTACAAGTTGCAAAGTTCAGGTGTTTTTCATGTAGGGATCCCTGCTAAGAAACCCTGGTTTCCGATGATTCCCCTGGTTTCAGCTGGTGGCTTTTCCCGCAGCGCCTTGGTCTTTTTTTGGCGAGGCATCGGTTTCTGGACCAAAGCCCAGAAGCGCTTCTTCGCGCTGCGGGGCCGCGAGGAGCGCTGGGAGCTGTGCTACTGGGAGAGCACGGAGGCCTTCAACGACAGCTTTTGGGCTGAACGCGAAGGAAGTCGGGGGGACTTTGAGTCTCTGGAACCTTTTTTTTTTGAGTTTAAAGGCTTAAACCTTTTTTGTGTTTGTTTGTGTAACGTCTTAAACCCTTTTTTGGTGTTTCAGAAGAAAACAGCATGGGATTTGAGGGCGGCAGTTTGGGTGTGTAGAGGTAAGGCCCAATTTGTGGTCGCCCGTGTTGACATGGTCAGTTGGGTGTTGAAATAGGGGACCCGCAAGAACGGATTTCGGTTTCAGTGAGGTTTTCCTTCAGAGCCTCTAGAAGTGTCCCGCAAACAAGAGACACACCTACATTCCCCAATCAGCAGGCCCCCGTTATGTTTCTCATATGTGGCGCCTTTGTGCTACAAAGGCGCGTAAACCGTCCAGGCGGCTCAGGTTCTTTGCGTGTGGCGGAGAACAAAAGGAAACCCTGTCACAGAATGTCCTTCCAGTTTCGCAGTTCTTAATGGATCGGTGGTTTCAATGGGTTCCATCTGAAACTACCGCGTCCGGTCCGAAAAAGGTGAAATTGAAGCACCCCTGATCAATGAAGGCACTTTCTTGCTCGCCTGGTTTGCCTTCAGCTCATTTGGTGACGTCTTTGGTTTCCAATAAACAGTAGGAGCTGTTGGGGTCAGTTTCTTTCAGAGCTTGGTGAAATTTGGAATTCCCTGCCTGCGTTTCTTGGGGTCTTGGGACGCGGCTAAGGCATGAGCAACCAAGCCATGGGCTAAAGCCACTTCCCTTTCTGTGGGCCTCCAGTGGTTTCCTCTCAGCTGAAGCGAGTGGTGATGTTTCAACAGGCCGCAGCTCGTCTTTGGTAGAGCCCACGCCAAGTAGGTGCCTGAGGTTTTTGTTTGGACACAGTCCCCGCAACATGGAGGACGCCCTTATTGGACACCCTTCGGTAGAGACCACTCCCCTTAGACCAGGCAATTGCCTGACTCTTTTTTTTGGACACACCTGCCGCAACTTAGAGGGGGAAGGCCCACTCCTCTTCAACAAATCTCCAGTGGTTTCAACCTGTAGCAGGCACTCGTGTTCTCATTCATAGGGCTTCGTTCATCCCAACGGGTGCGAAGCTTCTGACACCCGGAACTTGCTCCCCTGTTTCCCGGGGTAGACTAAGGATACATTTTGAATCTTACCATCAAAGCGGGGTACACCCTTGTATATACTATGCAAAAATGTTTTACATGGACCCCCCCCTCCCAGGACAGGTTTCTGAGTTTCCTTGGTCTTGGGGGTGGGGGAGCACATACATATATATATATATAGGTGTGTATACACGTATACATATGTATATATAACAACTATATACATGCTTACATATATATATATATATATAAATATATATATATATATATATATTTGATGGGCCTAACTCTAATTCCATGCTTCCCCGATCACCCGAAGTTCTGGCCGTCGAGGTCAGAAAGAGAAAGGCTTGGTGGACATGGGCCGCGTGGTGGCCGTCTCTAACCAGGCGACTGGAAAGAAAGAGGGTCAAAGAGACTGCGTCCACATGGGGGGAGTCGTGTTTTCGGGCACCCCCCCCAAAAAAACAATCAACAACAAATATTTAACTCTTTGGAAGACACAAAAGCAAAAGCAAATAAAAGGGCGGTTGTTTCTTGTCCCTTCAACAGACAAGCCCAAAAGAGGGTACCAAAAAAGACGAGCCCAAAAGTGGCTCAACAAATGGTACTCAAAATGGCGCCTTGGTACGTGGAAAAGGCCAAGGTACACCCAGTTGTTCAGCGAGGCTACTTGGGTGTTCGGCCAACTTAGTCATCTGTCGGCAACCGTCGTTTTAACCCACTCATAAGTCCCCGTGCAGTGCAATTCACCATGTTAGTGGGTTGGCTAACCACTTTTCTAACTGGGCGATCCGAACATCCAAGTGAGAAAAGGGGCCATCCACTTTTCTATCTTGGCGATCCGAACATCAAAGTAGGAAAAGGGGCCCCCTTTTCATGATACTGTGGATGGACGAAATCCTGCACCGCCTAAGAAACCCTGGAATGACGATTCCCCTGTAAATACCAACCAATTGTGGTTTCTCGTGAAATCCACGTGGTGCGAACGGATTCTGTCCATCCGCACGGGCTCGACCGGGTCAGCAGCGTCCGATAGGTCAGCGGCGTCGGGGAGGCTGGCGTGAAGCTCACCTACCGCCGCTCGGCTGTTTCTCGGGTCTGATGCTAAGTGGATGGCGTCAGGAAATTCGGTCGCCCCAGGCTTCCATTTGCTGAAATGAATATGTGTTTCTTCATTTTCCCTTGTTGGTTTTAAACATACCTTGTCACTACTGGACTTTTTTTTTTTTCTTCGAGGGGTCGTCAGCAAATGGAAGCATGTGTGCCACCTTTGTTGCATTTTGCCAAGGGATATTAGGACTTGATGTTTTTGGCCAACTTATGGGTTTTCCGTATTAAACCACTAAAAGAAAGTGTCACTTTTAGCAGGGGAGCAAAAAACAATTATAAGCCACGGTTAAAAAGACACCGGTTCCTGAACTTGGGGTTAGCAGGGATGGTCATGAAGCAACTTTTGTTCAGGGAACCATGACCATCGGCCATAGAACAGGTGTGTGTGTGTGTGTGTGTTTTTTTTAACGCACCCTTCGAAATGGCTTCGGTCTTCCTGTTGGTTTCCCTTTAAAACCAGCAAACAAGGGGCACCTAGGCTCAAAAACAGACACATCCGTGTGGGACATGTGTGCCAGTTTCTGTGACTTTCTGGATTCCCTTGGACGATATATAAGTCATCGGCCCACTTTGTGAACCCGTCCTAATAGATGGGTGTCCCCCACATTGGAAGTCCCCAAGCAAAATCAACCAGAAGTTTATCAATCCGGATTCCCATTAAGCCATTGTGTGTGTGTGTGTGTGTGTGTGTGTGTTTGTGTGTCTGTGTGTGTGTGTGTTTGTCTTTTGAGGTACCCTTCACGAGGTTGGTTTCCACGGAAGCCAACAGCAAAACCAATTCCATGCTGGGGCCCCCTATTCTGAGACATATCCATGTGTACAAGTGTCAAAACATGTACGTCTTTAACTCGGGGTTGCTGGGGATGGTCGTGAACCCTTTGGTAGGATTTAGACAATCCTTGTAAGGGTTTTTTTGCTGACTGACTGACATCAGCAGCTTTGACTATGGCATATACAAGGTTTGGTCAAATACCAGAAATCGACGGTCCATTTGAGTTTTCCCACAGCAAGTCAGGGGACGAGCTCTTTTTGCCGTCCGAGACGGGAGCTGCACATCGCGAAAATTGCTTTTGAAGCATTTTTGTGTCCAAATGAAGGACCCCACCCCATTTTTGGGTGTTGTCCTATTGGCAAGCTTTTAGTTCCCTTTCCGCGAAACAGTACCCTCACCCAGGCGCCTTCATATTTCCATTGGATGGATCAGTTAAGCCTGTTTTCGCATCAAACACTCCTTGTCAAAGGGACCGACAAAAATGCAGGAGACCTGTGCAGGTCAGGCAGACATAGGGGAAACTTCCGGCCGGCCCTTCTGAGTCTATAATGAGGCAAGTTGGTTTGCACCCAGTCGATTTGCAATTCTTTGGGCCCTTTTGTGCATGGGTATGGGTCAAAATTAAATCACCAGGGGACCGCCCGTTCTAGTCATTTCCATTTACCAGGGTGCAATTTTGGGGTTACTGTATCCTATTTTTGACAACCACCCAACTGGGTCATACTGGGCCCATTAAAGTGACATGCCTGAAATTACTTCGCTTCGAGCAATCCCCACCCTCCACACTCACGAGCTGACGACCGTGAACACAGTTGCTTGAATTCAAGCATGGTTTTAGAGTGGCTTAGGGCCTTATCCACCTGTCTGTGTGTCAAACTCCACTTGTCTGCGAACTGATTTCGAGAACTCAAACATTAGTTCCGTTAACAAAAGCCAAGCCCCTTCCAAAAAGAAACCTGACGGGGGATTAAACACGAAGTTGCGTGTTCGCAACCCAAAGCAACACAAAAGCATCGCTTTCCGAGCCTCAGGGTACACTCAAAACATGAAGGCAGCCCCACTGTGCGCCGGGCGGGATATTAAGCACTGGTCTGGGGACACACTGGCGAATAATGGCGAGCCGCTCCGGCTTGATACTGGCTGGATACTCGGCAGGATCCACCGGCAAGGGATACTCAGCGGGATACTCCCCGGGATCCACTGGCGAGCCGCTCTGGTGGGATACTCGGCGGGATCCACTGGCGAGCAGCTCTGGCGGGATACTCGGCGGGATCCACTGACGAGCTGCTCTGGCGGGATGCTTGGCCGGATCCACTGGAGAGCTGCTCTGGCGGGATACTGGGTTGGGGCGTGGTGTAGAAGCATCACAAACGCGGATTCCAACATAAAATCTAACAACCCCTTCCTGTCGGGTGGGGAAAAACAGCTCCCGCACTTTCTGCGGTTCAACCCCACCCAAAAAAACACAACATTTCGAAGCTCGTCGAAATGCAACCACTCTTCGGTTTGGTGTCAATTGGTTCGGCTTGCGCCTGAAGGCTTTTTGTCCGGGCACTCGAGGCGATGACACAGGGAACGTGCGGGAGCTGATTGCGGTTGCCAAGGAGGGCCCAAAAGTCGGAAGCGAAGTGCCGGATGTGGCTCGTCTTTTTGTTTTGAGGTGCCCTTTTTTCGGGTGGCTTCAAAGGGCCAAAGGGAACGCCACTAGATGCCAACCAGCCAAAAGGCAACCCGTGCTTTTTTTCATCAGGATAGAGCACCTTGTCACCTGAATCATACTCAAAACCTTCTAAAGGGGTCTACTGCATGTTGAAAGAATAACGGACATCCGCACATGTGTCTGGCCGGGACGCTTCTTACTATGTATTCCGGATTTGATGGAAGAATTCCTTTTGGCTTCCCTTGAAATGGGCTGACAACGTGCTACCCGGGCAATGTCTTCCCATGCATCTAGAAAGCAGTTTGGATGTGGCGAATCTGTGGATCCGCCCCAGGAGATTCAAGGAGTCCGAAAGGAGTACTAGAAAGTAAGCTACAGGCGGAAGAAGAGGTGGCTCGTTTCCCCCCCTCCCCTCCAATATTCCAACAATGTCATGGCATTTTTCTTGGGGAATCCACCACGGCCCTAGGGCACCCCTTAGTCAAACAATGGAAGTCTGCATCTACCCGGACTTCCAATGGTAATGGCCTCTATGGTCCCCCCACCCCTCCATCATAGGCGTCCTTCTTGTTTGCTTTGGTCGAAGAATAGAGGGCGATTCCTGGTTTACCAAATCGGTGTTTTTTTTGTTTCATCTACCAGGGAAACCCATCTATGTCCCCTCAAAGGACACCCCATTCAGCTTCCCCTTGGCGCTTTGGGAGGTGAACCTCTCCTTTTGAAACCAAATGGGGAAGGCAGCCCCTCCAAACCGAGCTGCAAACCACCAAGGGAGAAGCTGACAGTCCTTGGCGGTTCCCAGCGAATCGTCCGGCTCCCCAGTTTTTTTTTTTTTTTTTTTTTTTTTTTTTTTTAACAACATATTAAAAAAGGTTTTCCATTGAACCCACAAAAAGTGAGTCACTTTTAGCAGGAGATCTGAAAACGGACAGCCCAGATTTTGCATACAGGAAATTCCATCGGACTCCGCTGATTTTGGTGGGTATTTGGCTAAGTTCCTGTAGAATTCCTGTAGCTAGTTTCTATACCTGGGCCTGGGTTTTGCCGGCCGCCTCTTTTTTTGTTTCGGCGCGGTCGTTTGGAGGACTCCAACCAGATGCCCTCCGCCAGCGAGGCGGAGAGGTGGTGCCAGGCGTTACAGCACCACGGCTAAGAAGCCAACACGTGAGTTCCAAGGACCAAGTGTCATAGGTGTCCTTTTTTGGTTGGTTTCCTCAACAAATAGAGGGCGATTCCTGGTTTAGTGTCATACTGTGGATGGACGAAATCCTGCACTACTTTGAAAGTATTGGAAACCATTGTTTGTTGGTATTTACAGGGGAATCATCATTCCGGGGTTTCTTAGGTGGTGCAGGATTTTGTCCATCCACAGTAGGTGTCCTTTTTGGTTGCTTAAAAAATAGAGGGCGATTCCTGGTTTAGATGGGGGTTATTCCATTTACCAGGGCCATCGAATTTTGCAAAGGGCCACCTATGCCGAGTGTGGAAACTTGAGACGCCATAATTATTCCTCCTATGCCTGGTGCAAAGTGGCAGTAGTTCCCCAATGGATCCCAATTATGAGTACTGCAACCAGCCATTATCCCAAAATCAAGTTAAGTAAATGGTACCAAAGTAACTTGTGCGCGCCGACTACTGGGTGGGCATTGCCGTCCCTTGACATGCCGAAGGGTGTTCCTTTTCAAGTCATCGCTGGGTCGCGATTCTTCGAACAGATGACCTTTTGACCTCTTTGTGTAAAGCATCAAAAGCCACAAAGGACGGCCAATCACAGAGTGACCCAATTTTTGGGGCAACAAGTGTCCGAAAAGGGACCCTTAAGATTGGGAACTAAACAGCTTGCTTTTGGCTTTGGAACTCAATCCCAAAGATGTAGGGGTTGACTCCCCATTCTTTTCAGCCATCGTTACTTTCAAAAACCAGCCATTTCCCCAGGGTTTTTGGTGGTTTTCTGGAAAGAAGGATCCGTGGAAAGAATGGAAATGGAATTTACCCCTAAAAAATATGTTTTGTTCCCAATTTGGGCCCTGACTGTTGAAATGTCCCCATGGATCCTGCGACATGGCCGCCGAGTGTAACGAACAGGTCCCATTTTGACGCATGGCCATGTACCTTCCCCATTCTTTCAAGGGATCCTTCTTTTCAGGAAATTATCAAAATCCCAGGGGAAACGGCTCTGGTTTTTGAAAGGAACGATGATTCAAAATAATGGGGAGTCTTCGGCATCAAAGTCACTTTGAAGGCTCCTTCCCCCACTTAGCGCAATGCAACCAGTGATTGGCTCTTTCGGGCATGTGGAATATCCTGAAACATGGTTGGTGGACAGAGCAAACCAGGAGAGTCATTTTGGATGTTTCAACATGGTCCCGGTCAAGCCGCCCAATCCTCACCTCAAGATGCTTTTTGGGGATTCTTCCACCCTTGCTTCCCTTCTCTAGTTCGCAAGCCTGCTTCCCCCTGGTGCATGTTTTTGTTGGATTCCCCCCTCTTGGATTCCCTGTGGTTGCTTCCCAAGCACCCTTGCGTTGTTTGGTTTTTTTGGGTTCAACCCCAAAGCGGCGAATCGCCGCGCCGCGCCGCTCAGCGCGCCACGACTGCCGAGGCACTTCTGCATGTTGCTGGCGAAGGCGCCGTCGGGTCGCCGCCAGCAGGGCGGCGGCGGCAGGCCCTTGCCACAAACCCCGGAGGCAAGTGGAGTGGGCCCGTTTTTGGTTGGGAGGCTTTCCCTACTAAAATCGACTACCGAAACAAAGTTGGTACGCTTTCCCCCAGTAGTGCCCTTTTACCCTTTTTGGAGGAGGGTTCCCCTACTAAAATTGACGACAGAACCAAAAGTCGGGTAATCTTATTCTAAGCTCTTTACTCAAGAACCTAGGCCAGCTAGTGCAAGGGAGCCGTTGCGGAGCTAAGGAACTACCAGGAGTTCTGTAAGGACATGGTAGGAAGAGAGAGGAGGGAGGGCAGGGGAGGAGAGGCGAGAGGGGGCGGGTTAGGCAGTTTTTGTGTCGTTGTGTTGGCAGCTTTCGCGTTTTCCGTTGCGGGTTTTTACGAAGGAAATCAACCAGTGTGTGCATGTGTTTTGGTAGGTAGTGCTTGTTTGGAGGGGAACCAAACGGAAGCCAACCCCCCAGAGATCACCGATTTTCGGGCCTCGGGGGTTTGTGTTTCGAGGGATCTGTTTTTGTTGGTGTTGGATTCTGTTGACCACTCCCAGTGTTTTGCGAGAGTCGCTTTCCTGTTTGTTCAGAACCAGAGGACGGACACATGGAAAGCCAGGCGGGGTTCCCGCATTGGCAACACACCCAACTACACAAATACGCCAAGACCCAACACGAGCCGGGCTGGGGCTTACCCCGTGTCTAAGGCAATTTGCGACTTGTGCGCCTTGCCGCCCCTTGTGAATCTGCACCATGGTTTTGGTTCTAGGGGAGACTCGGTCATTCCCTAGCCATTGCAGCAAGTATAGTCACTGGAACTGGGCTGGAACTGGGCTATCCAGGGGTGTGAGATTACTCGGGGTTTATCCCCCACTTCTGTGATACGGGTTGGAATCTCCAGATGCCCTTTTGGTTGTGTCACAGAAGCGGCCATTGGAATCCCCTTTTGTACTGTATCACAGAAGTGGTCAGGCCCCCACAGCCCTGTTCTGGTTTGACTTGTTCAGCGTTTTGAGATGGCACAAACCAAGTTGCCCAGTGGTGCCGGTGCCCTTTGTCTTTTTTTGGGTAGAAAGGTTTCTGAAGCTGAGGGAGGTCCACAAGCAGGTTTCTGAAGCAAAAGGCAAGCCACAACCTCTCCAATTGACTGCTTTTCCACCAAGCTCAGGCCAGAAGCAAGCCTCAAAATTCCCATCAGGCTTACCTAGGCCCTTTCCACAGTCCACCCCCCAACAGTTGCTACTCTTTTCCCATGTCCAAAATCAATTCTTCCAACCAATTTCCCCGTTTTTGTACCTGACTTGGTGGCCCGTTTCGCTGGGGTTTCCAGTCCTTTGGAAATCCAGCCCTCAGTGTCCTATGCAAAGCAGTGGTTGTTGGAAGGACCCGTTTGCTGGTGGTGACGCTTTTTTTTTGAGATCGGCTGGAGATTGTGTTCTCTTTGGAATTGGGTTTGGGGGGAAACCCCCTTGGGTTCCAAACGTGTCTCTTTTTAGGGTGTCCTTTGGGCTTTACGCGACTTTTTCGGGTTTCCCTTGGCTTTTTGGGACTTCCTTTGGGTTTTCTCCGTGCTCTGTGGGGAGTTTTCCGTGGGGCAAGCGCCGGGAGCTGCAGGCCCAGCTGTGGGCCAAGCACTTCGAGAAGGCCCAGGCGCTCGGAGCGATCGTGGATGGATCGGAGAGCCGATTGGAAGCGGAAGCGATCGGCGACCGGTCGGGTAGTCCATATTTCCAGTAGTGAACCAATTTCAAGTTGACCAATTTGGTTCAACCCTTGGCTTCCCGGGCCCAGGATTCCATTTGCTGAAAACAATTTGGCGGTGGCTCAAAATTAAGCAGGAGGGGCAAGCCGCGGGTTTTGGTCCAGGTTTCCACTTACCAGGGCAACCCATTTTGGAATTCCGGTTTTTTGAGCCACACCCAAATGGATTCCCTAGAAAAGCAACAGGAGAAAATACAAACATGTTCATTTCAGAAAGTGGAGGTATAACTCAGTATAACATATTTGCATAGATGTCCTTTTGGTTGTCTTGGTCGAAAAATAGAGGGCGATTCCTGGTTTACCAAATCGGTGGTTTCATCATCTACCACGGAAACCCATCTAGTTCCCCTAAAAGGACGCCTATGGTCACCCTGGTGACCGTAAAGACGTAAAGAGGTTTTTAGGGTTCCTTGCCCCCATGAAAAGAGTGGCCTGGAAAGACCCAATTTGGATGATGACAATAGGTAAGCGATGGTGGTTGCAAGGTAAACAGGGCTTTAGTCAGAGAGCCCTGGAGCTCTCGCATGTTGAGCTGTCCTTCTGTGACACAGTAAACCACCATCATCCGGATTTCAGTCAGAGAGCTCTTAACGGGGGACGCAGTGGCGAATTTGGATTTCAGGCAGTTTCAGAAGCAAACCAGGCCAAAACAGCCGGATAAACCAAAAGTGCTGAGAGGTGTGCGCCAACCGAAGAAAACAAACCCGCCCGAAATTGCCCAGGAAACACCCCGTTTGCCCGTTTGCGCGATGCCCCGAAGGGCCGCCAAGTTTAATGTTGAGCCCATGTAAATCAACCCCTGTTTATTATTAATAGGGCGTGTTTTTGGGTTTAGTGGGGACACCCGCTGTGAATAAATTGGGGTTGATTTATATGGTGTCAACGTTAGTTGGGACTTACTTTGAGGGGGAAAAACGGCTTTAGACGTATGCGTGCGAAAAAATGTACAGGCATTGTCTTGACTGTTTTTTTTCATAACAGGACCCCCTGAGCGTGCGCTTGTCTATGTTTGTTTTTTTGGAAAAACCAACAGGATATGTGTGACACTTTTCCCAAAAACACAAAACAACTTCTTTTTTTTTGGCGGGGGGGGTATCAAAGTCAGAAACTGGTTGGGGTGTTTCCCTTTAACTGATCACTTAGGGGGTGACTTTGATAGCGGCAAAATACAGGGGACATAAGGTTTTTTGGAGTTGGTACCCCTTTTTCTTTATATAAGGCTTTTAAGGGAAACTAAAAGGACAGCAGTAGGTTTTGGGTAGGTCCTAGGTTTTTTGTAGGATTCGAACCCTCCAAAATGCTAGCAGCTAGCTTTCCCTTTTGGTTTCCCTTCCAAAACCACAAAAGAGGGTACCAACTCCAAAGCAGACAGACCGATTTCTCTCAAAACTGGCTCCACACAAAAATCAAGCCACATGGCTTCAGCCGCAAGAGGTGCTTCTCAATCGGTTGGTATTCTTTGAAGCCAAAACTCAGCTGTCCAAAGCGAAGCGACCGGATCCGACCTTTTGGTTGTTCCCTAGGTCACCCAGTAGTGCCCTTCTCTCCTGGAGGGTTCCCCTACTAAAATAGACTACAGCAAGAAAATCGGGTACCCTTATTCTAACCTCTCTACTGGAGGACCTAGTTTTGTTTTTTCCTTTATGGCAACCATTTCTGGGGGGTCCTTTGGGCAACTGAGAAAAGGACACCCATGTTTTGAGAACCCGTATGGATCTCCAAGTGAGGGGGGGGGTTCCTCGTGGGTTTATCCTTGGAGCTTGGCCAGCCCTCCCAGCCCCTTGGGTCCATAAGAAGCTTTATATAGATGCTTATGGGGTTGCATGATACTAAGCCACATTACGTCAAGATCATGGGATGAGCGGATGACATGTGAAATTTGTGTGTACTGCTAGTATTTGTTGGAATTGCTTTAACCTCGTTTTTTTGAGCTATATGGGTGTGTCGTATTTTTTGGGGGACCCTTTTGGTTGGTTTCAGAAGGGGGACCAACAGAAAACCACCCATTTTGAAGGTTGCCCGGTTTTTAAGACACCCCCATACATAATCTCATAATTTTTCTTTGTCTGGGTGATTTTATTGTCCCGTGGTCATAGAACACCGGAGGTGCACCAAATCCGACAACATCATGGGCTTTTTGTGGATCCCCGGATACATTTTGCTGGGGGTCGTGCGTTTTAGGGTATGTAGAACCGTACAGGGTAAATGGTGTTTCTGTGTGTTTCAGCCCAAAAAAAGACCTCCTTCCAGGACCTACTGTGGATGGACGAAATCCTGCACCACTTTGAAACCAGGAGAACCATTGTTTGTTGGTTTGAACAGGGGAATCATCCCAGGGCTTCTTAGGTGGTGCAGGTTTTTTTCCATCCACAGTATCAAGTACGCGGCAATCCTAGATTAGCGTGGCTTGCTTTTCTTTGGTAAAGGAGAAGCTTTCGCTACCTTCAAGAGTTCGCATAACATGGCCATGGGTCAAAATCCAAATCGTACCCCCAGTGAACATCCCAATCCAACCACTAAATTAGGTCCTAAAATGGGTGAATTATCCTACCAACCAAAATTTGGGATCCCAAAACGGTTTTGACCACCACAGCCAAATGAACCCCGGATTTTTGGAAAAACACCTGGTTGATTAGGAGGGGGGTGTCCCGTTTTAGTGGGGAACCCGACCATTGGAGGGACGCCCCTCAAGATGAATGTTGACCCCATATGAATCAACCCTATGAATAGGGGGGGTGGGGGTGTTCTCCTCCAACAGTGGTCTGATTCCCCACATTTCACCCAGAAATGGAAAAGCACCCCCTATTTATAAACCCAGGGTTGATTGATATGGGGTTAACATCAAGTGATTGGAAGAATCGCGGGAGATTTATCGCGGTCCTTGGGAGGCGAAACTTGGGATCAAGAACTGGACGAAGCAGAATCTCAATACATCATTTTGAGCCGGGGAAGCTGTGAGGATGAACCTTGGGGTCCAAACCACCGCCAAAACAAAGAAGGGGGCAAAAAAAACACCACCAGCATTGGCTTAAGGAGTTTCAGCTTCCAAATTGTGTCAGCTATTCTCTTAATGGGAGTTGAACCCTAGGGTAGATGTTCGATTGACATGGGTTCTTTGGTTGCAAAGCAGCTGGTTGCATGTTTTACGACAGCTGAGAACACAAGCGAAAGCCTATACAGGTTCCTCAACAGATTCATCATATCGGGACTTCTGACCCTCCAAGGGTCCCTCATGTGGGCGTGCCGTTCAAGGTTGGACCCCTAAATGAGTGGGTTCCTTCTCGCTTCTCTTTTTAAAACGCCCCATGTTTGGGGGGGCTTTAAAAAAAGAGAGACGCCCATTCAGCTCGGGAGGTGCAACCCGCCCGCGGCCCGGACGCTTCTTCGTTCCTGGGCGCCGCTTGGCGAGAACTGAGGGGGTTCTGGGCGGGGTGGTGGGTGGTGGGGGTGGTGGTGACGGTGGTGGTTGGGGTGGTGGGGGCGGAAAAAAGGGGGGGTGGTGGGGGTGGTTGGGGGGGTGGGGGTGGGGGGGAAGGGGGTAGTTGGTTACGTTTTAATTTCCCATTGCAAAACGCATTTCGATTTCCCTGTCCGAACCCCTGCAGGGGTTGGTTAGTTGCTTGGCGTCCATCCCCTGACGTACCATCATTTGGCGACCCTTCACATGGGAGGATTTGTGGAAACCTATTGTTGAAACCATTTTTGCTGAAATCTTGCTTGTCTTGCTGGTGCTCAGCAGGGAATAAGGGAATGAGCCCTATACACCATCCCCTATGGCTTCCTTTCAGGTGAATCCCCAAGTTCATTCACTCATTCCCCACTGAGCACCAGCAAGTTGTAGCCCTTGTTCACCAGTTGTCATTTTGTCAATGGCTTACGTGTGCAATCCTGGAATGTTCAAACCCAGAATAACGTGTGTGTGTGTGTGAATCTTTTGATGGCACCCTTTTTGGGGTTGGTACACATGTGACGAGCCAAGACAAAACCCGTGTAAGTCAAGGTTGGGACAATCCCAACCAGAAATAGGGTGCAGCCGCCCTTGTAATTCTTTAGATGATCTTGGGTAGGCATTTTAAATGATGTTGACCCCGGATTAGTAAACTCCCCTGTTTATTGATATGGGGGTGTTCCCCTGCAAAGTGGTTTAATTCCCCACATTTCACCCAGAAATGGACCCCCCAGATAATAAACCTTGATGAAATATCGGGTCAACAGTACCAAGCTTTGATTTATGATGAGGACTCACACAAAAAGAAAACCACCGGAATGGATTGGTTTGAGACCCACGCGTACATCGGGCTCCTGGCAGGCGCGTCGATTTTTTTGGCGGTGAGGGGCGGGGGTGAAAACAGCGGTGATCTGGTTCCCAGGCTTCTGGCTCCTTCAGGTGTTAAGGTGTTTTTCTCCCGTTCCTCGGGTGTTTTGGTGTTTTTTGGGGTGTTTTCGTGGCATATACTTGAACCGCTGAGCCACTCAATGGGGGTCAATCTTGCTCTAGACGGATTGGCATCATCTAGATTCGGTGAACCATTGTTTTCATGGGGGTTGCACCCGTGGGCAACCCATTTGGAGGTGAACCGCCACAAACGCCCTGAGAAACTCGAGGCCGCGCCCTCCTTCCACGTGAGCGGAGAGGACCAACAGGACGGTTTTCGGCTTGAAGTGGGGTCGATGATCTGAGCTGATGTTTGCTCCTATTGATCATGGCTTTGGAAGTATCCGACGGTGGGCTTGGTCCTCTAAACATGGTGGCTGGAAATAGGGTCCACGTTAATCAGAGATCTGAGCTGATGTTTGCTCCTATTGATCATGGCTTTGGAAGTATCCGACGGTGGGTTTGGTCCTCTAAACATGGTGGCTGGAAATAGGGTCCACGATAATCAGAGATCTGAGCTGATGTTTGCTCCTATTGATCATGGCTTTGGAAGTATCCGACGGTGGGTTTGGTCCTCTAAACATGGTGGCTGGAAATAGGGTCCACGTTAATCAGAGATCTGTGCTGATGTTTGCTCCTCTTGATCATGGCTTTGGAAGTATCCGCCGGTGGGTTTGGTCCTCTAAACATGGTGGCTGGAAATAGGGTCCACGTTAATCAGAGATCTGAGCTGATGTTTGCTCCTGTGATTATGGCTTTGGTTTGGCGTTGTATTTAGCAGCATTTTTTATCGTTTAGGTCTGGGCTGTTTTGCTTCCAACCTGGAGATGGTGTGTTGTTCAAGCCCAAAGCAAACCTCCCCATGCGACAAATGACTTGGAGATGGTTTATGTTCTTCAAAGAGGGAAACCCTAGCCTTTCCACCCGTGCCTACATCCATACCTCCTTTTGGCTATTTTTGCCTTGGCGGTTTGCTGACAAAGAACCGACCTTGCTGACAAGGGTTGAGAAGCCGAGTTTGTCCATTCCTTTGGAGGCCCCTCATGCATGTCGTCTGACCAGCTACCCAGTCAGTCCATTTGCTGAGTTCATGACTTGTTACGCTTGTTCCAAAGGACAACGGACATGACGGGATCTTGTGGAGCATTAATGCCTCCCCACTCAGAGGGTCCAAGTAGCTCATGAGGATGGCTTTTGGGGGGTAAAAAGGGGTCTACGTACCTCCTTAAAAGGTACTTGGACTTCAACCTGGAGCCTAAAACAGGTCTCGTTTGCGGAGGACCGATTCGGGCTCCACGTAAAGTTGCGGGATGGACCATTCTAGGGGTTGATTCCCCATTCTTTTCAACCATCGTTCTTTTCAATAACCAGCTGTTTTCCCAGGGTTTTGGGGTGGTTTTCTAGAAAGATTCGGATCCCTGGAAAGAATGGGGAAGCAACCCTTAGAACCATGTCGTTTCAAGTTGAGGCGCTTCGGCAGAGGCAGAGACCTGGGGTGTAGCGGTTGCTCCGAACCAAATCACAACGGTAGAGCAGTAGGAATGGTAATGTTGACCCCAAAATTAATGAATCAGTTTATTGATATGGGGTTTTTTCCCGCCAACAGTGATGATTCCCCACTAAACCCAGAAATGGACACCCCCCTATGAATAAACTGGGGTTGATTAACATGGGTCAACAGTAGTTTCTCTGGAAAGGTGTCCATTCTGACAACCACAGGATTGATCCCCTTAATTACTTTCTTTGTGGTGAAAGTACAAGGGTCGGTCCTTTCGTTTCCTTGTTCAACCAATTTGTTGCCTTCTGACACGGATTCCTCGGAGGAATTCTGGTTGGGTTTCCCTTGAGGACAGCATTCGGCGCAAGGCTGGTGGGCGAGGGGCGATCAGTTCCATTTCAGGAGAGCTTGTAGGGGGAGCGGGCAACAGCTAAGCTGAGTCGGGATACACATCCCAGAGCTTGTAGAGTTCCATGTTGTTTTCCCTTCAATTTGTCACTGCTGAACATGATTGTGTCTTTCCTTACGGCCCTCCCCCCAAAAAGGACTTGTTGATTTTCCTATTGGTTTCCCTTTAAAGACACCAAAAAGGGACACCCTCAAAAAAAGACACGCCCATGTTGTGCGCTAGTTAATGCTACCTTACAGCAAATGGCAGTTTCGATGCGTAGAGCTTGCACTCCAAGCGCCCGAGGGCGCTTCCTGGCCAGCAGGGTCCATGAAATACTCACGCGGCTCCGGAGGACGTTGCTGGAACCACAAAGATCCGGAAATTGCTGATGGACACATTATATTTTGGTAGATCTGTGTGAAGCGCCTCACCGGGCCGCAACTCCTTTGTAAGAACCTTCCCCTTGGGCACAGGGCCGGGTTTTTCCCGGGGTTCTTTCCATGAAGGCGGCGGATCAGGCGAAGTGGTCGTTTTCTGTCGAATTCTTCAGGGAATCGGCAGGGAAAAAGGGGAGGAAGGAAAGGAAGGAGAGGAAGGAGAGGAAGGGGGAGGAAGGAGCGGGAGGAAGGGGGAGGAAGGGGGGAAGGGGGGAAGGGGAGGAGACAGATTATCCAGGGGCGAGCTGACGTGAACGATGATTCGCTGTTCAGGGCCCTTTCGGAGTTCTCGAAGTGATTCGTTAGCTCCCTAACGGCAAACATCCCAACCTGGCCTTTTGCTGCTAGAAAATCGCCATGCACATGAAACAATGAAAATCGCCCCGAAACATCAACCCTTTTGCTCTTCTTGTTTGCTGCATTCCCCAATCAAATAATGTCCAACACCCAGTTTGACAAAAAACAAAAACAAAAATCAACACATGATCCCCCGGCTCCTTTTCGGCGCGCAGCGTGCTTCTTCGAGACCCGGCGCGTATCTTTTTTCGGGGGTTCTCCAGTTCTCCAGCTCCCCAGCCGCAACACCCCCCCTCCGCTCACCGAGCACAGCTCCTTGTCACTCGATAGCGCCAGACCCGGGGCCGGACCCAGAGCCGGAAGTCCATGGTCCCGGTGAAGAGCCGCCGGTCCTGCGACTCCGAAGTCGACGTGGAGGCCTTGGACCCGAACCCTCCCAAGGAGCGGAGTGAGGGCGCCGGTGGTGCGTTCCTGGCCGAGGCACGGCGCGTTTTATGGTGGGAAGCCCAAACAAGTCCAGTCCAACAACGGGAAGCGACCAAATATTTGTCTGATTGCATGAGATGTTGCTTCTCATTCCAGTGTGGTTTTTGGATATCTGTTTTTAGATGGATGAGATGTTGTTCTTCATCGTGTGGTTCCTTTGGCTATGGCCGATTCCGGACTCTTCCCCCCTGACAGCGCCGCCAAACCCTCAACCGGGAGGTTTGATCCGATCCGAATCCGCCAGTTGAGATCAAGTTCTGGGTTCACATTGCTCCAAGATAAAGCAGCGCTGAGAGCAAGATTTTGTTCAGGAGTTTCAAGAGTTAGAGCTACCCCAAAAGAGGTTTTTTCTGATGACATGCCTCCCCGAAGTCTGACTCCCCTCAGAGCCCTCCGGCTCTCGGCCTCTAACTTCGGCCAGGACGTTCGCAGTGAGGTGTGGGGGAGGGAGGGAAGGGGGGGCCGGTGGGTGAGGCTAAGCATTTTGAAGGCGATTTTCCCCCAGCACCATAAATGGGGGTGGGGACCCAACCCGAGTCTTGTACGTGGAAACGAAATCCCATGGAAATACCGGGCCAGTGACTTCACAGGAAGTATGGTATTTTCATTGTCTGTTTTTCACAGTGACTTCACAAAATACGAAATCCGTTGAAAGTATTTTGGATGGTTTGCTTTTGTGTACTCTTCCCGTGTTTGAAGAGGTTTGCCGTTGCACCAGTAGATTCAACCCGCACTGTTTGATCGCTCGGGTGGCTTGGGAGTTTCGAACCAAACCGAAGGGATCCAATCTAGGTCCCCCAGCTAAGGTGCCCTTTTGGCATTTCTTTTTTGGTTGGGAGGGTT